CTTTTTCTTGACTTGTTCATGCCTGTGAGCACGACCGCTAAATCACTAGATTTCCAGCAACGCTGATGGTCCTACTGCTGACTAAGCATGACATATGAATAGTTTTGTTTGAACATTCAATTACATAAGGACATTTTCATGAGATTATGTGAACAAGAACAGGGGAGTTAGTAAGATTGATAGTCTTGCGCATGTGAGAGAGGTCGTTTTATTTTTTCACAAATCTGACAAACGAAGAAGGGATTCGATCAGAGGAACTGTTGTGCAAGTGTCAACTGATACGCTGAAAGAACTCAAGCAGCAGTTAGCTAGAAAACATGCGTCATCATCCACAATGAATATACCAACGTCTAACTTCCAAAATTATGATAATGAAGCAGAAAAATTGTGTGAGAAGATAGATGCATTGGAAAGAATGTTCAATTGGTCAGAATACGAACTGTTGGAATATAAATTTCGAACCTTCAACCGGTATAGAGAAATTCGAGTCACGACGTCAAAAGATCATATACATCCAATTATGTGGATTTTAATGTTGGTGTCCCTCAGGGCGCAGTGCAGGGCCCAGTACTTTTTCGTTATATGTGAACAATATCGAATCCACCTCCAGAGAGGATCATTTCACATTATATGCAAATGATACTTCAGTAGATATATCAGGTGGAATAGATGAAAATTTACAAGTTGAATGTAACTCAATTCTGCATTCTGCGTTCTACTAACGTTCATTCAACATTCAGAATAAACGTTAGTTCACCGTTAGGATCGATAATAAGTCGATTTGTATCCATGTAGGATACACACGTTTTCAAATGACAGTTATATCTCCAAGAGTCAACGCTATTCTATGGAGAACTGATAAATGCATGATTATGAAAATCCATAAACATTGGGGGGATAATAATAGGGAATCAGGGACTTTCACCTTCGTGAAGCTTTCCGATCCTCAGAAATTGTATTTATTTTCTCATCTTCAATAGCACACCCTGTTTGTGAGTTTATCATTTTTTTAGAAGAAATGATGAATGCAGTCAATCGAACGCCATTTTTATGTAAATCAAAATTATAAGTGATAATATGCAACACCGTTGGATAGCCCATTAGCCATGAGCTATCAGAAATTTCAATTTTCGAATGTTTCGTTCACAGAAATTGACAGTTTTTGTATTTCCTCAATATTCCATAGTTGGAATCACATGTACAGAAAACCTTTTTGAAGGTAAATCGAGTCGATAGCGGCATTGATTGATCAGTAATTTCATAGCTGAAATACTTCTCAGACCATCATTTGTCGTACGAACGACCTGGACAGTTGGCTTTCGAATAATGTGTCCAACTTTAACCTGGTGGAAAGGGGAGATTTTATGAATATAATATATATCGGATTCTTATTGTTGAAGACGTATTCAAATTACCTTGTGATCAAACCGCCATTGATGAGCAGAGTTAGGTCGTTTCAATCAAAATCTGAATGACCAGTTGAATCGCATCATAACTGATGAATAAGATACCAACACCAATCACTACCAGCGTACAAGCTACTTTGATTGAAAGTGTTTTCAACATTGAAACACTATTCCGTACCGTCAATAATTAGGTAATCGAACTCCTCTGCCCGACTAGAAATTTGTTATTTTCAATATCCTAGACTATATACAGATGGTTGATCTCAAATACGACCATAACATGAATAGTTCACGTTAACTCAAAATAGTGGAAATGGCAGTTTCGAACTGGAACGTCCAATAATATGGAAATAATTTCCGATTAATTTTTTCCATAAAATATTCAATAAACTTGCCGACGCCAACCATGGACATTATCTGCCAAATCGTTTCTTAAAGGGCATGCGAATGGCAATACGTACGTTTTGGCTGGAACCAGAAATTCATTATGCGCCCAACTGTATAAGCGTTGCTCTCCGGGACTGGGATGTTGCCAAATACCATTATTTCTCAGTAGTTGCTGTGGTATAAGTACTTCGTTTGTGTTCTTTCTCATTACCCCTATATATTATCATTCGATAAACAATATGTATAATCTCTGAGTATTTATTTGATTGCAATCCCTATATCACGTAAAATAGACTGATCTTCCACATAAGAACTTTCAATAACAATTATAACAATAACTATCCTTGAATAACATCGATGAATTTCTATAATTTTGTTCGTAATACCGACTGAGACATTTTTATTATACGTCGAATCTTTTTATGATGCATATCATCTGTGTTCAAATTACTCTACAGGGTTTTACTGGTAATTCGAAATATTGCTTTGGAGATGTGATAGGAAAGATGGTGAGGAGTAAATTGAACCCTGATATGCATTATGCAAAAGTTGATGGTTTTTGAGATATTCAATTTTTTTTGTTTTTCTCCAAGAAGTACTCTTCAAGGGTTCAAAAGTTTGTTTCTCGAAAATCTGCTCCATAGTTTTTCAAACTTTCAACTAGAATACATGATCAACACAATTTTAATGTTTGGAGTGACAAAATTATAGAAACATTTAGATCATAGATAAATTGTAGATACGAAGTCTTATGTTTCTTTGTGAATTGTGCATTTTAACCATATCCTAGCGGTAATTTTTTGAGAAATCTCTAAGCCACATTCTTTAAAAATTTGTAAAAACTTCCTTGAGGCAATAGCTACAAATGGGTACAAATGTAACTGAAAGCGCTCGATACGGATTTGTTATCTCAAATGAATAGTATGAGGGAAACTAGTTTTCAACGGAAGTTCTTTGTTAATGTGTTGATGAAACTCATTGACAGTTATTTCATAGGACCACTCTTTTTCCTAGACAATTTGAATAGGGAAATGTATGAACATATTCTACGGCATGATTTGCAGGTCTGCAGGAGCATCTTGAGGATGTTTCTCTCGCCATCAGAAGACGGACGATATTCCAACAAGAGTTCAGCGCATTATCGACTGCTCGTTCGGCAGTTCCTAGATGAACGTTTTTTGAACCGTAGGATTAAAAGGTCAGGTCGAATAGGTTGACCATCACGAAGCCCTGACCCAACCCCCCTTGATCATTATGTGTGGAGTCTTATGGAAGCGCTAGTTAATGGAACTCCGCAGTAAATACCCAGGTAGAACTCATTCGAATGATAACCGACGCTGCCCTGCACATAAAAAATGATTTGAGAACTAGAATAACAAAGACGGAAATAGGAAGACGCTGCCGAGCATGTATTCATGATAGAGGTCTCATTTTGAAAAGGATTTGTAAAAAGTGAATACTAATATTGAACATTTTTCAAGTACGTTTTTACTATTAGTGTAAAATAACAAACCCGTATCAAGCACTCTTATTATTATTTGTACCCAGTTAGATACCCATGGCATTGAGGAAGTTTCAAACATTTTTTGACAAATGTGGCCTAGAGATTTTTCTAAAATTTACCGCTACGAAATGTTGAAATCTTCAAATGACAAACAAAAATACGACTTTGTATTCACAGTTTATCTATTATCTAAATTATTTCTGGATTTTTTTAATTCCAAACATAAGACCATAGTGTTGATCATGTATTATAGTTGGAAGGTTGAAGAAATGTACAGCAAATTTTCGGAAAACTAACTTTCAAACCCTGGAAGTCTACCTTTTGGAGATGAACAAAAAGAGTTGAATATCTCAAAAACTATTAACTTTTGCATAATCCATATTACTGTTAAATTCACTCCCTATCACATCACCAAAGGAATGTATCGAATTACCATCAGTAACCCTGTATTATCTTCTAGAATAGATTGGAGTGATTAATTACTATTTATTTCAATTAGTTAAAAGTTGAAGGGCCTTGATCATCCCATTTCACTCCTTTGAAGCGCGTGGTCACGCTTGTCACCACTGACATATCCGAATTGTGATCATTATCAGATTTGAAACGTCATTTCTGGAAATTGAATGGTCGTCCTCGCGAAAATGTTTCCGAAAATATCTTGTTCGGTAACGAATTCAAAAACTCTAAGAATGATGGTGATGGTTTATTCGAGTTATCCAAAGACGCTCAAAGAAGCTTCAAATTCCAATATCAATTTATTGAGATATATTCATTGACATAATATCGATATAACTACACAATGAGCAATATGTGCCTTAATTTGGTGTTACGCCAATGTTAGGGTTGCAAATAATAATATGCCTGCACTCGTTCAATGAAGGGGTACAGAAATGTCATCTCATTCCATGTAATAGTACATTATACACCAAGGGAATGAAGTGGTACTCTAAATCCCTGAACAAAAAGTTATAGCCTTGAGTAGGTCGAGCTATAATTTTTCGAGGGATTTAAAAACAGTCCTGAGGTGTGTGAACAATTTTATGCACTCCAGGATAGGTGAAACGTTGAAGAAAAAAATAAGGAAAAGAATTGAATGCTATAGTAAACGGTATTCAGTCTATTTCATGAATCATCATCGAAGGGGCTGAATATGTTACCATATCAACGACCTCAGAAACTATGGTGATCCAGATTATGATTGTCATCGGCAACTGAAAATCTTGGTCTATTATGACAAGTAACCAAGTAGAACATAAATAAATAAATACTAGAGTCAAACACGCCACACCGATTGAAATACTGCAAATGGTGCAGAGAACGGAACGTAGAAAATGTACAGAAGAGAAGGTACTGCTAGCATATTCCCTGAAAAAGTCAAAAAATCTCAATGTATCGTCATTGTAGAGCGTATATTCGGTGATAAAAGTCACAATTGCAATAGACACATCGTGTCTCTTTGTTATATGCTATGTTACTCAAGTCCCATCTGTTGAGTGACGATGCTTATTGAATAGGTGAATGAACAATTGAAATATCTTCACAGGTAGAGATACTCCTTCCATAATAAAATAATGTCTTTTATTCGATTACATTCATAGACAAAGACTTAAATATTGCAGTCTAATTTTGAGGCATCTTGTATGTTATGATTGCCATCATTCTCAACGATCTCATTTTGATCAGGAATAAAATACACTCGACATTCTGAAAGTATCACAGAATGATGCATCATTCCATTCCAAATTCAATCTGGTGCATTGTGATTGGGGCTTATTATGGAAGCTGAATATAACCTCCCTACTTGCTGCTCTTCAACTCTGGATCATTGAATACCCGAATGAATGAAGAAATTTGAGACTATCAAACATGATGAATACGTGGATTTTTATTCAGTTGGGAAAATTGTTCGTGAACATGTCAATTCTCTCGATAATGATCAAAATATACGTATGATATGTGAACGTTAAATAAATTGGTATCGTTAGGTATCGCTAAAATATGTAATAACTCTGATTTGTCAGCCTTAGGTATTTTGAGCGGGTTTATTTCAGTCATTTCAGATAATATCTTCATTTTGGTGAAAATTAACAACTTCTTGTTCGGACATATTATTGAACCGCTGTATGACAGCCTCGGCTCTCAAGTAATTGGTCCCAGGCATCTCACTTGACACATTACTATACGTCATTGGTGGTTCTCTTCTTGCAGCAGAATATTTCCAGCACATCATTCGCGTGGAGAACTGGCAACAATTCTGGAGGGTTTTCTTGAACGCTACCCTGAATTCTCTGTTGAAGTATGCGTAGATTAAGGGGTTGAGAGCGGAGTTGAAGTAGCCCACCCAGAAAACTAGGGTGACGACCCAGGAAGGACTGTAGCAGAGTTCCGCACCGCAGAGACTTGTGATCACATACCTGAAAGAAAATAGTAGTGGGTACTTTGAGTTACAAGTTCAGGAAAATTTGTTCAAAAAAATGCATAGAGTTTTTTTTATCGCTTGGAGCGCACGAAAGGGAATCCCTATAATGTTCAAAGAACATCGTGCGTTCCTAGGGAGGATAGGGACAGGAGGTAGGTATTGGAATTTTTTTTGAACTTTTGGAGATTATAATTATGTTGTTGGGAATACTTCCACAGGCAATGAATTCCAGAGCCTAGCCGTTCTATGGATGAAGGAGTCTTGATGAAGTGCTGTTCGACATCTTTCGAGGTTGACAACGAATGGATGTGCTGACTGGGCTTGTCTAGTTCGTCTGATTGGTATTGCTTGTGAAGGGATGATAGCAGAGATTTCCGAAGAACATTTCCCGTGGTATCGATAGAAAAGTGAAAGGTCGCCGACCTTTCTACGGTGTTCCAATGATACAACAATGTAGAATAAATACTATTCCAAATAAGCATTAACAATATTGTCTGGAAATCAGAATCAATATAAGATATAATCACATTATCAATATAGAATGACATGATCAAACTTTGTATTTCATCATTTTGGCAATCAAAATGCCAAAGATATGAGAGGTCTACTATTACTGATAGGAAGATAGTGAATGCTAGTGGAAATGATCTTCTATTCGATTTCAATGTTATGGAACAACTTCTTTGAAATTCACGAGATCAAGATAAAAAAGACTCGTTACCTACTAACACTCTGAAGAATGGGGAGATGTGTGGCACACGCAGTAGCAAAACAGGAGCATTTCTGGTTCAGTATACAAAACAACACGCTCATTTCACAGTTTTTCATCTCTTGGAACGCACGAGAGGAAATTCCTATAATGTTCCAAGAACATCGGGCGTACCTAAGGAGAGTAGGGAGAGGAGGGAGGTATTAGATTTTTTTTCAACCTTTGAAGGTGGTTATGTGTTTTTGGGAATACTTCCATTGGCAGACAATTCCAAAGATTTGCCGTTATACAGACGAACGAGTGTTGGAAAAGTTTTGTTCGACGTATTTCTAGGTTGAAATCGAATGGATGTGCTGACTTGGTTTGTCGAGTTAGTCTGACAGGTATTGCTAGTGATAGAATGATAGCAGATATTTCCGTGGAAGTATCCATAGAAAAAAGTGGGGTGCTGACTTTTCCACGATGTTCTAATGAGGTCAAAAAACTAGTGAGTGTGGCCTCACCCACCAGGCGAATATGGTTCTTCTCTGGACGAGATCTGAGACCATTAGCGTATGCTTGAGTGCGAACCCTATATGTGGAAGCAGTATTCTGAAACTAGCCGTATTTGTGCTTCGTAGATCATCAAGAGCTGTTGAGGTACTGAATAGATTATTGCACAGAACGAAAATCCGACTTTTTGTGAAGCAACTTTCGCGATGGATCGGATATGCTTTTTCCATGGAAGGATATCGCAGATGGAAATAGCAAGAATAGATATAGTAGACTTGATGAGGATGGTGCCATTAGACATCGTTATATCAGGCTTGAGTTTTGGTGGTGTAGAATTCTACTAAGTTGTCGGTTCCCTAGGCGTGATCCCAGCAAGATTTTCATCGACAGCGTTGACCTGCCTACCAGTTTCCTGGTAAGAAATAGGAATTCTGGAAGAGAACGCAGTGAGGAGAGTACCATCATCTGCATAGCTGAGGCTGCTCCTAACTGATCATTGGTATGAAGTAGAAACAATGTGAGTAACAAAATTGATTCTTGCGGAACGTCGTAATTGGTGGCAATGGTATCAGATCATAATTCGTCCAACACCACATGGAGCGAAACACGACTGGAATCCTTCGATATATCCAACGCTACAGCTAGGGATTCCTCATGTTCTTCTGATGAAGCCTGCCATATCATAGGTATAGATATGAATATGAACTATCACATTGATGTTGAAAATTTTTTTGAGACAAATTGTGACTAGAAATAATAACTAAAGAATTTCAAATGCACTGCGATGAGATGTGAGCTGGGTCATTATACATTTTATCCTGCATATAATAAAAAGTGGACAGAGATCATCAGCTTGTCGAAAATCATTCGAAATTCCAAGTTTCATAGGTTGTTTGAGTGGTCAAAAAGCCAGTCTTCAACGATGTGAATGCTGTGAAACTAACTGTTGTTACCTTCATGTGAGTTTCTACTATTCCTGCTACTAGGTCAATTTCTACATTTTCCTGAATAAATTCCATCTCTGGCCAAACAACTAGTGTCTGATGGGGATATATAAACCATGAAATTGAAAGTATTTTGTTATTTGCACCGGCAAATCAGTAGCTGATTTTTGTAAGCTTCCTCTAAAAACCTTCTTCCGAGAGATAAAATGATATCCAGTGAAGGCGAAACTATTCTAACAGGTCTTGACGATCATCATGTCAAGTGGTTTGCTTACAATGCGAAATGCAGATTTTTTCAGTCCATTGCTAGAACTCATTACCCAGGTAGCACAGTGACGTCCGATTGACGTTCTCTTGGAGACGTCGAAAAAACAGAACATGTCACAGCCTATGACGTCATATTTATTTGTCAAGATGACGTCTCAGAATGACCTTGAAAGGATTTAAACAAATATTTCAGGGTTAATATAGGCTTATACACGGAAAAAAATATGATAATACATCACTAACCTTCGATGGGATTATTGTTTATTGTTTATTGAAAAACTAGCTTCAAGTCAGAAATAAAATTCTGGTATGAGGAAGTTGATTACAAACAACAATAATAAAATTATATAAGGTGACAACAACAAAAAGAAAATCTGAAAAATCCAAAAATGCTAAATCGATTCATAAAAATAGCCACAGGGACTAATCAGTAGATGGCAGAGTATAAATTTTATCCATTTCGTAATGAAATCATGTGTTTTTTCAATTCAATTTCAAATTTTGAAATATGTCTGCAAATTTTTATATTATGTGGTAGGTAATTTATTGAATTCAGCTAGAGCAGCGTGAGAAATTTTTTTTTGGCCAATTATAGAAGTAGCAGAATCAAGATGAAATAAGTTTGATTGTCTCGTGTGATGACCATGAATTTCTGAGTTTCTTATCAAAATAAGATTGGATTCCAGATTATTGTTCATAATATTATATGAAAATTCAAGAGAATCTATTTTATATAATTCATCTAATGAAAATTGGGATTTGTTGGGATATCAAATGAGAGGCGATAGGTACAATACTTTCAGTGCTTTCTGATAAAGTGAATATTGATGACTTCGTCCTTCCGAGTGTAATCTCATTCGATCTTGGCGTTATCATAATTATTTTGCATCCCCATGTGAGTATAAAATCAGCCATTTATATTTGTGTCTTAAATCATGTAGAAAACGTTGGCAGGATGTGAGCGCAATGAAAGTAATAAAACATCAACTATGGGAGAATGATTTACATTTTTAATTTTGTACACTGGAAAGATGAGATCATTTACATTCCTACGCAAACTGCTGATGGAGGGGATTCAGATATCATTGCAGATTCTGGAAAAAATATCAGAAGAGCTCAATAAGTCTTACGAATGACAATAAGTGGATTTTGTTGGGACGTTATTATGACCTTCAGTTATACATGTCAATATAATGTCGTGAAACATGCTGTCATTTCTAGGTCCCTTTGCAATCAAGAATGTCATGGACCAATAATAACTAGATGACATCATTCCACTAACTTGTGCTACCTGGAGAGGCCTGAAGATATGCTCTCAAATCACTAGCTGCATCAAAAATTGAAATATCTCAAAAGTTTTCAATGAAACGCCCTTCAAGTATGTCATGATTCTATAATAAAGGTGAATTTATTCTTGATATTTTTGCAGAGAATTGATTCTCGTGTTCTCAGATAATGATTATGGACAAGGATGTGTGCCTGATACTCACCATAGAAAAAATGGCAACCAGCAAGCCAAAAAAGCAGACACAATGATTCCTAATGTTCGTGCTGCCTTCCTCTCTCTTTTCATTTTGTTGCTGGTTCCGGATTCTTGGGATGCACCTTTCTCATCCACTATGAGATTATTATCGACGGACTGACGAAGAGAAGTGAGACCTGCAGATATTCCGTTGATTTGAAGATGTTTGTTGAGTAGTGCTGCAGCTACTTTGCTCCTGGAACGAAAACAATGTATCACAATACTAGTGAATTCTGCGAAATGAGTTGTATATCGCTACTTCAGGGTTAGGAATCAACCTCAAAATTCAAAATTGTACCAGGCAAGTCCTAGTAGATAAATAACCACCCCGAAATGAAGAATGAGAATAATTAACCACAAATTGTTACAGAAAATAAACTGCCAATGGCCAACTTCTCTGCCCATTTTGACAATTTTATATTTTTCGATATAGCTGTCACTGATGGTAGTTTTATACCTACTGATTATCATATAGAATATTATCAATTGATATATCGAACTACTGCAATTCGAAGATTATTTTTGATAACATATATCAGTATGTCAAGATCTACATAGGGAAATTGTGATGAAAATACGTTATATATGTCCAATAAGTGAGATAGAGGGCGTCGAAGTATATCAGGGGGATTTTTCTGGAGGAGGGAATTTCACCATGATTGTTTTAATTTTTTTTCACGATTTAGAACACATACTGGGTGAATTCAGCATTTTTTCAATTTTCTTACGATTGCGGTTGACCCAGAAAGAAATTATTGAATTGAACCTAAATTCAAACGATAGCTCGAATGCTCGCGAAATATTGATGGCATTTCATTGGACGAATACAAGGTGCGTCACACCGCGTCATACACTCAATAAAAACTATAATAGTGACAATGACGGCTAAATATCTAGAGGGCCGAACAGTATAGATATTTAGACGATAGTGATATTCTTTCGTTCTGAACGTACTGACACATTTCACTCTAACTGAACTGAATCAGTTGACATACGATGACGTCATTTGAAAGAATGCATATCAACTGATTCAGTCCAGTTCAAGTAAAATATTTCAGTTAATTCAGGTTGAGAGAATATCACTTATATGACACTGATAGATCACTGAAAATGAAATGAAATAATGAACTAGATGTTGAGGTTAATCTTTTTCTTTTTCTATAGTTTGTTTTGTAGCCATTTTTCTCCCAAGTCACAGATCACCCAACCTCTCTGTGCTCGAGTTCTGTGTCTGTGGTTTTGTGCAACGCATCCTCTTTGGGTCGTCAGAGGGAGCCTCAAGAAAATACAAGTGACATCCATATACGTATTATTAATCAATACGGATAATCTCTATCTGTTTCCATAGCGAAACATGAAGCCGATTTTTGAAGACAAATGACTATCCATAAGGAAAAGTTTTGAAACGATCAGACACATACTGCTTTGATTGAAAGGCTAGTAGACGTCATTGACCACCGAAACGCATGTCTTTGATGACTACTATAATAGCGCATGGCGCATGCGTATCATGCCACCAAATCTTTATGGATATTCATTTGTTTCATATTTTTGGCTTCATCCTGGCACCCGTTATGATCCGTATTGTTTATAAATACGTTTATGCACTAGCGGGCCGTAAAGTGCACGTTACCGCCCGGTTTTGCGAGCGTTAAGTTGAACTTTACCGCCCGCGGGCTCATTATGGCCCACGGGTCGTAAAGTGCACTTTACCGCCCGCTGATGTTCTCAGTTTTCTTATATCCACATATCAATTCATGAAAAACCTATGATCATTTTCCTAGATTCGAATATATCCAGCGGTATATCATAAACTTCTTTATTCGATTCCATAGTCTCGCTATTATCATTATCACCAATTTTTACTTTTCAGTCAAAGAATGACAATTCAGCTTGTTTATTGGATGTATTTGCTATCACTGCTATAGACAACAACCATCAGCTTGCTTGACAACGTCAAATTAGGTATATATACTGAGTATGCATATTGTGAAATTCTGAAGAAAGAATCTCTTTTAGAGATTAAAGAGTTTGTCTATTACGATAATTGCAATATTTGTACGATGATTTTTATAAGTAAATCATCCATGAACATTACGCTTCTCTTGATTACTGAATTTATAGGTAACAAATTAAATTCGGGGGAATATTAGTTTATCGAAATCTATAGTAATTACTTTTGAGTAAGCAAATGAACCACTAGTGCATAAAATTTTGTATGTATCACGTGCGTGAAATGCGTTTATGGCCTTCAGCGTGTAATGGCCCTCGGCTAGCGCCATCGGGCCATTATTCACGCCACAGGCCATGAACGCCTACTTTACGCCCTTGATACATAAATAACTAATATGGTGACATCACACCGCAAAAAAAGGTCGTTTGGAACTCTCTCGATTTGTAGCACTTTTAGTATTAACCCATTAGTGCATGAAGTTACTTTTTTTAAAATCTCTATATTTTGAAGATGTTTACTCATTCAAATATACCCAAAGAATGATAACTCATGACGAATAATTTTTTTTTACAACAGATTTTTTTTATATGACACGTCCATTTTAATGGACTCTATGCAAATTGGTTCATTGATGAAAGTGATCAGTAGGGAATTTCAGTATTCATTTTTATTCAAGTACATATCCAGAACATGAAAAACTCAATAACATCAATCACAATATTATCAATAATAATAATAATGATAATAATAATGAAAATTATACATCATGATGACTTGATACATTTTGAAGCATCTCTCAGATGCAGTCCTATTTTACATATAAAATTGCAATTTTGTATACTCTACGGAATGGAATTCAGCTGATGGGTATATGGAAATGCATCATACCAAGAAATTATTTGGGATGATACTTCCAAACCTTTTTTCGGTGCTCCTCACACGATCCAGTGGAAGGAAATGTGAACCCGTTGAAGAAAAAGAGGAGTCGAACGAGTGGATGGAGTCGTGTCTGTAGTTGACGTGCTGCAGTATAACGTACAATCATTTGATGCTATAATATTCCTTTTCATAATGCAAAGATGTATATTATTTTCAATTTCATCAAAATCAGGATCAGAATAACGAAAGTCGCACGGCTGTTTGATAATTCCTTTAGAAATATGATTTATTATGAATTCGCAGTTTCTAAATTCGAATAACTGCATTTCTGCCAACTTTTCTTCTGGAGGCAATATAATATATGATTATCTGTTGGTTGATCGATATCTGACCATTTTTCATATGTCTAAGAGGTGTTGCAAGAATGATCTACAAAAAAATCTTGATGACCGATATGCATAGAGTCCATTATAATGGACACAACACAAAAGCAATATTTTGAGTGTCTTACAAAAAAAAATAATCATTCGAATTACCTTATAGGTTCATAAACACATGCATATAATGAGATCTTGAGGGATAGGAAATTCCGAAATTCATTATACTCCGTTATAATAAAAACTTACCCTCCTTGTCGGGTGCAATACAAATTGTTATCCATTTGATCACGTGCAGAATATTGTCGAGATACAAATTCATGAAAAAGAAGCGATAGCTGTTTGTTGTTGAACTACACTTATAGTTCTGGCGCATGAAACATTCAATTTCTGCATGATTGACGTCACAAAAAATTAGACAAGGAGCGTCCATTATAAGACACATTATGCACTAATGGGTTAATTGAACGATTGCAAAGGAATCAATAGATGAGAGGAAGTGATATTTGATATACTGAGTCATGTATGAGACCGTTCGCCATATAAGGAGGGCTATTTTCAATCATAGTGAAATTGCCTATTGCAAACATGTAACACAGAAGCATTAGAAAAATAAAACACCAGAAATATGGTATTGCAATAATTAATTATGTGAAGTCTGCATTTAAGACGAGGTTCAATATTGATACGGTACCTCCGACAGAGTCCGCTGCACACCAGCACTGCCGCAGGGTAGGTATATCAGCAAGTTCAGGCATGGCTTGGCAACACCAAAAACCATTTGCTACACACTATCAAATGATTGGACTATTTTGCACGAGCAAGTAATTGATTTCTATCTCTTCATTTCTCAAAAAATCAGAAAGAATCTGAAGAGTTCGATGAATTTTAGAAAATTCGCAGTAGGCAAAATTTGTTCTGTTGAAGGTCGAATGCCTTCAAAATGGAAGTAAGGTTAGGTTGAACCTATATCAAAACAAATATACTCGACAACTCCTACATCGCAACATTCACTATACTTTCATTGTGATCAGATATTGAAAATGCAATTTTGAAACGTCGGAAGTAAGCAAGAATGGGAGAAATGGAGTGATGGACAGAATGTGTGCATATAAGATGCAAACTTATCTGATTTCTAGCGCAGAATTATGTCGCCTACACTTGGAGATTTTGATGATGTGGCTCGTTAAAGTGAGCGCCCAATAAGGAATGATAATTTGGAAACTTGATAACGCCAACACGAATTTGAGTCCAGAAATATTAGAGATAACGATAGATAAATTGTAACCCAGGTAACACAGACCTCTCTGCGATATCTCGAAAAGATTATCTTTGGGATAATATGCGAACTCCTACTGTGAGCTATATGGGTAACTAACGAAATCAGAAATCTCACACACCTTACATTTCAGTTATCGACTTCATTTTCCCTGCGAATTTCGAAAGCCACTATGAAAGTAACCTGAATAAAAAATATGTGTTGCTAGTGTCTCAAGCTGACTGGAACGTTGCCCAAATAAGAAATTCTTGCTGCGAATTTTTCAAGTTATCACGTATGTAACATGAACAAGATATTCTAACTGCGAGTTCCTACAATTGAGCCACACGTGAATTGAATCAGACATTGTTATCAGAAACGAGAAATTCACGATGCAAGTTCTCGGAGATATCCTGAATGTCAATAACAATATATGAACAGGCGATTGCAATATATCAACATATATGACCTGAACTTACAATCTTAGAAAAAAAAATAGGATTTTGATATTATTTCGAACCAGAGTAGAAGACAAAATGGGCCACTATTTTATGAAATTTGACGATATAAACTGCATTCCTTCATAGATGTAGATGATGGGGAAGGTTATATTGTTTCGACTATTTCTTCATAAGAGTCATACCATTGCTCAGGATGATAACGTACATCACGACGATGAA